TTAAAAATCATTTTTAGTCCCGGTTCTTTTTGGAACCGGACTATTGTGGTTTTAGATTGATCCAGCAAATATCATTTCTCCACTAATGCTAGTTCGATAACGTATGCCTCTTCTTACCTGATTCTAAGAGGCAGTGTATTTAGATGACCATTGTCAGTGTTAAGTTACTCGAACTACCCCGGGACAGAGATGACAGAATTAGAATAATATATATTTGCACCCAGATTAGCAATGATCTATCTCTGGGCAGCCGTTATCACAAGCCCAGCTGAAGCCAAAATGACAACTTGAATTGCTGCCCAAAGTCCCTGTCCGCCGTACATTTTGGCTCGTCCCAACGAAGGCGACGGCTTAGATGCGTCCCCCGTCAATTACATGTACTATCTCCTTGCAATTGCCAATTGCAAGCAAAACGACAGGGAATTGGTACCCGTTTGTTTACCCCTCCGTCTAAAAAAAGCTCAATCCTAACTACGAATCTGGACACGTATATGTCTAGATTTATAGCTAGAGTTTATCTTTTTTTTTTTAAGGACAGACTGGTATGTCGGACGACCTTTTCTATCGCCGAGCAGTAAGATATATCCAATCACACTGATCGAGAAGTTTACTGTTATCTCGTAGAAGTGGCTGCCATTCACTGGATCCGTCTTCAGCTAATCGCTAGTGATGCCTCAAGTTGGTAAGCCGAACACGTACGAGAGCAAAGTTGCCAGACAAATTTAAGGCTTGGCGTTTCGTCAAAGCTGCTGGATTAATTAGCTTAGCTCTGCTACTTGCGTCGAGTTGTCCCATCCATCCAAGCTTGGTCACCACTACCATAATGTACGTACTGTTTGATGTGCTCGACACGGCGGGAGGATCAATTCGTTTTGTATTGTTGATTGGGTGATCGATCGTTTTTCGTTAGGTGCAGTTTGGCGAGAGAAATGTTACTACGTGCTGCAGGTAGCACGCACTCGAAAATATCTGAAGATACATATCACTTGTCCTCGTGATCACCTCATCTATGCGATGATGATGATGATTCATAAAAGGTTTTGCTACATGTTTGTTCACAAATTTTCTTTAAGACTTTATTAAATATAAATACTACATCTATATTTTAATGTATGACGCCGTTGATTTTTTTTTCAATGTTTGACCATTCGTTTTATTCAAAAAAATTATGTAATTATCACTTATTTTATTGTGACTTGATTCATCATCAAATGTTCTTTAAGCATGACATAAATATTTTCATATTTGCATAAAAAAATTGAATAAAATGAATGGTCAAACGTTGGTTGAAAAGTCAACGGCGTCATACATTAAAATACGAAGGGAGTACAACGTAACTTGATATAATTACAAAGTAACTCTGATGTAATTTTAAACCGTTAGATTTACTTTAATATTTGTATAAGAATGGATGGAAAAAATCACAGTGCAGGCACAGGTAAGGGGATTTGATCCCGTGACCTTCGCTTGGTACAAATAGCGTGTTACGATGTGATTTTTGAAAGTTACGTGTGAGTTATACTATAGTTAAATACAAGTTACAATATATAATTAAAGAATTATGTTATACTTACGTCTGATTTTTTTAGAGAAAATTCAACGTTAAATGTGTAGACAGCCCCATCATAAAGGGCACCAAAAAGCGCAGCGTTGGGAGCCGTCCGATCGCGGAAATCACCGGTCGACAGAGATTTTTTTTTTTGGCTCGATGGCGTGTGACGATCCGATCCAACCGCGCCTCCCTCACCCGCGTTACGCCGCTGCATATACACGTTGTCCGTATCCCCGCGCTGGCGGATAAGGAAAAAAAATTGGAGGGACTCAATTACACTGTTTCTTTAACCTTCAGCTATTTAGAAAACTTTAGTTTATCATTTATATGATGAAAAAATTAAAGGGGGTATTCCAGAGGTATCTATAGGTCTGGTGGGTGTAGGGGGGACTCGAGTCCCCCTGCACCTACGTTGGATCCGCCCTGCTCGTGTCTCATCAAACAACCTTAGCCACTGCGCGCGTCCGCCGGCGTACGTACGCACGTACGTTAGCCGCCTCGCGCGCCACCGCCACGCGACGATTTCCACCTCCACGCGGCCGCGTACTGCCGCGCCCGGTACGCGGTCGAGAAAAAATAAAACCACAGCCGAGAGGAGGAGACGGCGCAAACGCGCGTGGCGCGCGCACGCCGCACGTACGTCATCGCGCGCGCGTCGCTAGCTAGCGAAACGGCGCCCCCCACCCCTCGCGCCTCGGCTCCTCCCGCGGCTGCGCGGCCGCGGACGCGCGCGTGCAGCGAAAAACGGCGCGGCGCACGCAGCAAACACGCATTCTGCACGCACGCACGGGCACGGCAACGGCGAGGCCCCCACGGCGGTCAGGTACGAGGAAACAGGGGCAAAGCGAGCAAATCCACCCCCCAAGCTAGTGACGACATCATATCAGTGGAGGAGGGGGTAATAACCGAGCGAACGAATGATCGGTGCGTGCAAGTAGGGCACAAACGGCCGGGAGCCCAATTGCAGGTAAAGAACGAAAGAAACCGGCAAGCCTTTTTCCACTCTCTGCGTGTGGACAGGGAATGAATCATCATGACTGTACTACGGTGTACGTGTCTATACTCCACGCACCCAAACAAACAAAAAGGTGACGTGTCGTGTGTGCGCCTTGGCAGTGGCGAATCTAGCGCCAACTTGGTACTACCACCTCTCCCTACGCCCTCCTAGTGCATACTACTACAGACGATCGACCGGTAGCCAACCAGGCCAGGCACCACCGCGACACAGTTCTTTTCGTCATCCTCTTTTCCCTTTCCTGTTCCTTTTAAGAAAGAGCTGAGCAACAGTACTGCGGTAGCACATGAGGAAGCCCAGCTCTCGCTGATTAACACAATCGCTGACAGATTAGCAGTAAGTGTATATAAGCCATTCAATCTCCTCAATTATTTTCATCAGGTCCTAATCCAGCTGAATTAATTGCATCACCACACCAGCAGTATGCATGCAGTGTGAGTAGGGGTCCAGTATTCCAATACTACTCACTCCATCCCACAAATAACATATTTTTATGATTATGTTGTTTGACTATCCGTCTTATTTAAAAAAATTTTAAAAAATAGTTACGCATAAAGTATTATTTATGTTTTATCATCTAATATAAATAAAAATATTAATCTAAAAAAATAAATAAGATGAAGAGTTATAAAAGTTGTATCTTAAAAACTGATAAATGTATTTTTTATGAGACAAAGGAAGTAGTAGTCCATAAGGAATCGTCTAATTGTTGCTTTGTATGATAGTGTCTATGGAAAGGAGAAAAGAAAAGGAGGGAGAGATCTACCCAACAAATTGCTGGTCACTAGGGAGAGGTGAGGGCGATGTGGCAGGGGGGAGGAGGGAGGGGGGGTTGAGTTCAGTGAACCTGGGGAGGGAGTGGGATCCATGGCACGGCAAACGGACGCCGGAGGTAGGCATCAACGCTGGCAAGTAGCAGCCAACCGAAGCACTCATCGATGATTATATTTGCACCTGTCAATGCGGTCCCTTTCTGACCCCCAGCACAAGTGCTTTGTGTCCTCATCGTCGATGTTCACCTCTCTCCTGCATAGGAGCAACATCTTGCTTGCTTAGGGAGCTTAAAATTCTGATAAGTATATCGTGAGATCGAAGCCAGCTAGTGAGAATATGAAAAAAAAACTGGGTTTTCCAACTTTTGAGTTCTGGTTATTTTTTTTGGATTTCGTAACTATAAATTCTTAGAATCATTGAAAAAAATCTAATATGTTTGAGAAATCTACAGGTTTGAAAAGAAACTACATATGTTAAAAGTTCATCCAAAACAGGCCTTTCTTTGATTACGTCTTCAGAAATCAGAAATATCTCCATGACAAGAGGGTGTGGGGGCTGTGGGCGTTCGCCGAGACAGGCTAGAACGCATGAACTTTACCTGATTCTCGTACGTGGTTCATTTCCTTCGTTCCAAAGGAGACTTCAAACACTGAATTCCTGTACTCTCAATTGTCACCGTATTGTTCTATTATGATTTTCCGTTGTTGCAAACGGCTCCTAAATACGAGACATGAACATTCGTCATGCACTAGAAGTCCAAGTGCTTACGAATGATTTTTTTTTTCTTAGCTGATTCAGATTCTGAATTTTTGTTCAAAGATCCGTGTAAACTCTGCCGTGCCGATCACTGCCCTGGTAAAATAATTTAAGGCCGGAGCTAGAGACTTTCTGAGAGAACCACTTGGCGGAAAATGGTGATCAGTGAAAAGGTTAGAATCCTTAAACCACGATGCAACTGAACCCAGGCCGTCTCTGTCACTGACTATCTCTCATGGCAATAATTCGGAGAGGACCACACCCAATGGCAAGAGCCAGAGGAGAAATTCCCAACTTGGCCAATTTGCTCCCTAGTTTTCGATTTGTTGTCAGAAGCAAAATCTCGAGATATAATCCGCCATGAAGCAGACTCGCCCTGGAGCCTGAAATTTCTGCCTTAAGCCATAAACATTGGCTACTTGCTGAAAAGTACATCACTAAGCATCGCAAAGACGAAAAAGATAAGCTAACAGCTACGAGTAAATGAAAGACTTTGTGGTTGCAGATCCGAATGCCAATATGATAAAGCAAAACCAGGAACCAAATCCAGTGTGCAAATGATCTTATTTAAGCTTTTTTTTTCAGGTCACAGTCCTGTAGCCAATCAACTGCCCCAGTATTAAATCTTCAGCATCAAAGTATAAATATAGCACGAAAGAAAAGCCAAAAATCAGCTTATGCCTTAACCACCGACTGCTCAGAATATACATTGCTGGAATGAGACACAAATCATTCCCAACAAGTAAGCTGGGCAAGACAAATAAGCTCATACATCGTTAACATGTAAGCTTGATTCTGTCTTGATTTCTCTAGATTTCTGATGTCACACACTAGCTGTTGACATTCCAGAAAAGCAGAACTGCACAGGAAAGCGAAAGCGAGCACTTTCAAAGTTGCAGATTGTAGATACGCAATATGAGCACAACTATATAACTTAATAAGCACATTACAGCACACACATGGCCAAGGCAGTTATTTGAATCAGTCTCCAACATACTTCAAATCATAGACCACACCATACAGCAAACATAGTATAAACATTGTCATAGAGAGTACAGCTGATAGCAGCTTGTAATATTCTAGCATTACTTTGGTAGCATCCCTCTACAAAACATAGCAGACATCACCAGCTCTTCATCTTGGCCATACACATTCAACCTGACAAGAAAACCATATCCCATTTTACAACATATGTAATCTGTACATGAAAATGTATCTACAAGAAATCAAAATAGTAGGTAGTGTGGAGTGCCTTACATGGTTTGCTAGTGACAGACCACACTGACCAGAACATTTCGTCTCCTCAGTAGGCACCAGCTGCCATGAGCAGCTCATCAAGGCTCCAGATGCCCTCGTTGCTTGCCCCGTCTTGTGTAGCATCATTTTGCAGAAGGTTGTCCATTGATTCATCTGAGCTGCTCTCAACATAAGGTAATGGCAAATACTTCATCTCGGGATCGAAGGTGGGCATGTTTTGTGCGAGATTAGGCATGCCATTTCCCTGGGGCACGGCGATACCATAGTTGTTCCTCATTCTCTTTGGCGCTCCACCTGTCAGGTAAGCAGGTTCACCATATGCTGGCATGGCAGCATTAGGAACGAAGACTGAAGTGTAGTCTGGGGTCAGGGTGTCATCCTCCCAACCAAAGTCTGAAGAGCCAAATGAGTTGCTGCTCGTATCAGAGAGCATGTTCATCTCGAATGTCTCAGTGGAAGCAAGAGGTTTGACTGGAGGCATGAGATCAACAGGCTCTGCCGGCTTTGCAGGCACCTTTGCAAGCATTGCAAACAAATCATTGTCTGAACTGTTTAGCTGAAAGAAAGCATCATCGCCACAGGTCTTCAGAGGTGGAGCTAGTTTCTCTTGCTTGGCAGCGTTTTGCTTCAGGGAGAGCTTCTGAGCAACAGCTGGTTCATCAGGAAAGTTGACCTTGGCTTTCTTGCCACGGATCTTGCGGGCTTCAGCGTCATATGCCCTAGCTGCCTCCTCAGCAGTGTTATATGTTCCAAGCCAAACACGGACACCCTTGCTGGGGTCTCGGATTTCAGCTGCCCATTTGCCCCAGGGACGCTGGCGGATCCCCCTGTACTGATTCTTCCTCTTGTGCTTTGCTGATCTAGCAGTAGGTCCATCATGTTGGACAAGCTTTGTAGTCAACATCCCATCTACACGAAAGCTTATTTGTTAGTATACATCTCAACAAACAGATTTGGAAGAAGGATATAAAGGAAATATCATAGCTATAAACTGTAAGTTACACAATACACTCTCAAGCAACATGAAGATGAAGTTATACTGGATGTTCACAGAGAGGTTGAGACATGAATCAGTTCAATTGATCACTTCTCAAATAAATCATGACATATATAAGAAATCTTAAAGTCCATGAATATAGCAAGCATATGGTGTAAGCACTGTCAAAGTGTAGAACTACTCACTTGCCCTATGATTAACAATAGATAATAATCTACATATACTGTCTACAGTAGTCATCTACTCACCTGCAACGTTCTATCCAGGAATGAGATCTCAGATGCATAAAACTAACGAGGTCCCTCTGAGGGTATATTTTGATGTAGCTCAAAATCAACTGTACAAACTACTAAATTAGAGTTCCTTATATTCGTTAGTTTTTTTAAAAAAATAAAATAATTCTTTAAATTCGTATCCCTTGAATGAGAGTACGAGATCACCAACAAAGTTCAAATTAACAACCTAAAGTTTCTTCTGTTTAGAATTAACAAGAAAAAAAAAAGAAGGGAGCTTTGACAGCATCACCTAAAGTTTCTTCTGTTTAGAATTAACAAGAAAAAAAAGAAGGGAGCTTTGACATGCATCTAACAATCTATATAAAGAGTGGAACAACTAAAGAACCCATCATTTTTTTTATTTTTAGATAATACTACAGAACCCATCATACTCTGAAAACTAACAGCTAAATATGATAAATCAAGAGTACAAGAAAAAAATATGCCTCAAAGAGTACTCCAAATCTCAAGATGAGATGGTGGCACAGATGAAACTTTGCCAAGGAAAAAAAAAAGGCCATTAAGTTTTGCGTAATTACACTACTAGATCACTTATTAGAAACAAAGCAAGTAAATCCAGCGACAGAAGAGCATCCATAAACATAGGTTAATCCAAGAACATACTACAACTCTACAAAGCCAAATTTTCTCTAATCCAACACAAATATTAGTGATTAAAACACATAATGACACTGCGAAATCACAAGAATAAATATCTAAAACTCATCACTCTCTCTTTGCTACTCCAATTCAGGAAAAAGAAAGAAGAGTAGAATCTAGGACAAAGTTGAATTCCTATTTCGTAGTGTAAATTCGTAAACCACCAAACCTACAGATGCTATCCATCTAAAAGAACCAGATTCGCTAGCAAGTTTACGTACACAGGTATTAATGAAGTTAAGAACTAATAACACGCTAGATTGAAGAAAAAAAAACTATACTACACAGTGCCGTCCCATGGTTCGCATCAAGATCAAATCCATGGCGCAACCTGATGAAGCCCCATTTGGCAGCTACCCCATGAGACCCCAATTCTCTCCCCAAATCACACGAAGAACGCAAGAAACGGACCCAGAAAAAAGGCCGCATCTTGCGCTCGTCTAACGAGAAAAGGGGGAAAAAGAGCTAGCTTTATGCGTTATTTTTTCACCTGCAGTTGGGGGCGCCGCCTTGGCCGCGGCACGGACGACGAACCTCGCCGCCGCCGGCGGGGGGACCACCACGACCACGTCGTCGTCGTCCTCCTCCTCCTCGCCGCCGCCCCCCTCCGCCTCGTCGTCGCTCATGCCACGCTCGAACTCGCGGAAGTCGGCCTCAAAGTCCTCCTCCGCCGCCGCCGCCTTCCCCTTCCGCAGCATCCCCGGCCACAGCACGTCGGCCGTGACCCTCCTGCCCTGCTGCTTCTTGGCCACCGCAGCCGCCGCCGCCGCAGCGGCCGACGGCGGGATGAACCCGGAGATGATTGCTCCGCCGCACATGGCCGCTAATAAGCTACAGATCAAGAAACCAAGAAAGATAAATCGAGAAGAAGAACGCAGTGAACACTTGCTGCCGCTCACGCGGAGGGCGCAGTGGGAGAGGAAGCCGGGGGTGGTGGGTGGTGGCCGCTACTTATAACCGCGGATGCAGCTGACGCGCTACTCGACAGCGACGGCGTAATCAAATAAAAAGAAAAGAAAAAAAAATGGAGGAAGAGGAGGAGGAGGACGAGGACGAGGAGTGGAGGAGACGAGCTCTCGCGTCGCCTCGGTCCTTTTTTACCCCGCCTAATTACCAACCTCCTCTTCTGTCCATGATGTCACTACAACCACTAATCAAAAGATTCCTCGGTAAAAACAAAAGATTCGGCCACGAACAGGGATGAACAGGAGAGGGACGGTGTGGTAAGAATTTTTCTCCGAGGAGATATTTTGGGATGATTTTTACTATCAGCTTTTTGGAGCGAACCAGATCATGTGACGAACTGCCTTGCATGGTGTCATCACGGTATCATCCTCCTCTTTTGGTTTTTCTTTTCTTTCTTTTTTTTTTTGAGATTTGGGAAATGTTTGCTGCGAGAAGGAACGCAAGATGTGTGGGGCGAGAGCCATAACCGATGGGCGGCACCGAATTCGCTGGTGCTGTTTTTTGTTTTTGTGTTCTTGCTTCGATTGGTGGTTTGGACTTTGGAGGATTGCTTCGCTCAAGATCGACAAAAAGAAAAAAAAGAAAAGAGAAAAAAAAAGTTGGTTTGGAGTTTGGGGTTGATTGAATTGGTTTGACGTTTTTAATCATTTGACGATGCTTTCATTTGCACGGTTGCATAGTGTTTTGTTTTTTTCCCTCTTTTGTTTTTTAAAGACGATTATGGAACGGAATATCACACCAAAATCAATGTGGGAACTGATCAGCAGTGTATCAGACCCCATTTTGATCATACACATCGGGGTATCTCTAAGTTTGTCTTAAATGACTTTTTCTTCGTTTCAGGGTATTTTTCATTTGGCTTTCAAATAAAAGTAAAAGTTTTTATATTTGTATCATTATCAATTTGAAATCGAAGACCGGAAAGTAAACTTAGATGAAAAATAAATCCTATAATCAAAGCTTCAAATTTCAAAATTTGGAAGCTGGTGGTCAGCTAAAAATTAGATGATGAGAGTATAAGATTAATCGGATTAGCTAGATATGTCAAATGCGATTTATTTTACCAATTAGTTGTGTTTTCGTTCCTGCGAGCCTACCAAGCTTACCAATTAGTGAAGTTTGTGTGATTTGGTTTGTCCTATGTAACCATTTGCTTTGTTTCAGGTTACGGTTTCTACAGAAACTATGAGAACAATAACGTAAAGCTAAAACAGTCTCATAAAACTTCCATATACACCTAATAGATAAGATGATTTGGATTTATCCTATGTGACTATTGTTTCGTTTCGGGCTCTATAACATGGTTCAACAAAAACCATGAGAACAATAACGTAGCGCTAAAACAATCTCATAAAACTTCCATATACACCTAATAGATAAGGTGATTTTGTTTATCCTATGTGACTATTGTTTCGTTCTAGGTTCTATAACACGGTTCAGCAAAAACCATGAGAACAATAATGTAACGCTAAAACAATCTCATAAAACTTCCATATACTCCTAATAGATAAGGTGATTTGGTTTATCCTACGTGACTATTGCTTCGTTCCGGGTTCTTCTATAACACGGTTCAGCAAAAACCATGAGAACAATAACGTAACGCTAAAACAATCTCATAAAACTTCCATATACACCTAATAGATAAGGTGATTTGGTTTATCCTACGTGACTATTGCTTCGTTCTGGTTCTATAGCACGGTTCAACAAAACCCATGAGAACAATAATGTAACGCTAAAACAATCTCATAAAACTTCCATGTACGCCCTAACACCTAAGACGATTTGGTTTATCCTACGTTACTAGTGCTTTGTTCCAGTTTTTTATAAGACGGTTCTATGACAACCATGAGAACAATAATATAAAGCTAAAACAATCTCATAAAACATTCATATACACCTAATGTGATTAGGTTTATCTTACGTGGTTATTGCTTTGTTTCAGGTTTTATGACATGGTTCTACGAAAATCCAAGAGAACAATAACGTGAAGTAAAAAAAAATCTATGAAGCTTCCATATACACCTAAGATATGAGATACTCTGTATTGGACAACCATACAAAATTTTGCGATGAAACTTAAATTCATAGCATGATATTAAAATGACAAACAACAAACAAAAATACAGAAGCCAGGATTAATAATGTACTCCCTCTTCAAAAATATAAGAGATTTTGGGTGGATGGGACACATCCTAGTTCCTTGTCCAGATTCATTATATTAGGATATGTCACATCATCCAAAATCTCTTATATTTTGGAACGGATGGAGTACTAATTTATTTGTCGTTTGTCCATGTTAAGAACAGGTACAATAATGGGCGGTAGTAGTTCTACGTAGGATTTTGTGATGATTTGGAGGAGAGCTGGGAAGAGAGAGAGAGAGAGAGTGAGTCGGCGACTAATTTGTCATCGGGTTGCACGCGCCGCTCGAGGAGACTGTGGGGCCCGCCTTGCGCTGCCTCTTCTCGTCGCCAACTCCTGCATCGGGCATGCCTTTCGCTGCTTGCCTCCGTCGCCAACTGCCGCAGCCACTGGACCGCCGCCCCTCAGCCTCGCCGGCACCGACGCACGCCCGCCGCTATCTCCCACATCCGGCGCACGGCCCCTGTCACCCCCGCCTGCACAATCGCCGCCGTCTTCTGCCTCCGCCGTGCGGGCCAGCCGCCGCTGCCCCCGCCGCCTGCCGCACGGCAGCCACCGTCTTCCGATGTCCGCCGCATGGTCGCCGCCGTCTTCCGCCTCAGCCGCGCGACCCGGTCGCCGCTGCCCCCGTCACCCGCCGCACAGCCATTGTCGTCTTCTGCCTCCGCCGCGCGGCCTGGCCGCCGCTGTCTTCCACCTCAGTTACGCGGCCCAGCTGCCGCCATCTTCCGCCTCCGCCACCATTTCCTACGTCCGCCGCCGCCGTCTTTCATCATCGATGACAGGAATCGAGGGAATAGGAGAAGAAGACATGAACTATGAGGGGATAGAAGAGAGAGAGAATGTGAGGTAGGAGAAGATGGTGGGTCCCACGAATCAATAAAATATTTGTGTTATAGTATTTCTATTGTATTGACATTAGCTATACTGCTTAAGCTGTTTTTTTTTGGAGCCAACAGCGGGTTATATTATTGACCTTCCTCTAACATGAATGAAAGTTGTTTGCTATTTTGTGTGTGGTTGTCTAAATCATTTCTCTATATGTGGGATCGTTTTTAGAATTTTTCTAATTTTTAACATGGAAGTTTCCAAGTTTCTAATACTAGTCATTAATTATCTCATTTACATATTTTTAACTTATAAACTGCTCATGGGTAACTTCTAAAATATCCTGGTTGCTTTCTTAAAAAAAAATCCTGGTTGCACAATTGCACGTCGCCCTCACATATCCTTTTTTATTTCTTTTTTGTACATGCTCACATCTTCTCGATGCATCATGTATGTAACACAATAAAAAGAATTCGGCATGGTGCATGCATTTCCCTCTCCATTTACCCAATGGATTAGCATTATCACGAGTAAGTTTCTCTATGTTCATCCACCATGCATGAGAACAACTACTCGTCCGCTGTAAATCACATGTCGATCGAAGGTTTCTTTCCCGGGTCAAAAAACGTTCTCGTTCATCTCATGGCCTTGGTAATCTCAACAAGCTGTACAAAACTGCCACTGGCACACAGACTGGAGTACTGGACGTATCACACCGACCAAGGAGGATCATATGGCTACGATCCTAGAAGTGTCTGCACGTAACAAATTTTGGCTGTTTTTGTGACAAACTATCGGCTTTTGATCTTTCCCTTCGTAGTATTTTGTTGGATTATACTCCTTATTTTCCAAAATTCTTTTTTATTTTTTTGTGTGTGTGGGTGTGATGAGTCGTATCGTGACTGAATGGTACATTCACGCATGGATGCTCATCTACATTGCACGCCACATTTATGAAATCGACAAAAGCAGCTACTCCTCCTGCCTAAATTGCAGGCCGTGTCGTATTCAGAAACTGTATAAAAACATGTGGACAGATCTTTTTTTGAGAACATGTGGACAGATCTGACATGCTCCTGATTAGCTGTACTGTGCATTGTATAATATACTCCCTCCGTCCTATAATATAAGGGATTTTGTGTTTTTCTTTCAACGTTTGATCATTCGTCTTATTTAATTTTTTTTTTGTAAATATAAAAAACAAAAAATTGTGCTTAAAATACTGTAGATAATAAAGTAAGTCACAAATAAAATAAATAATAATTTCAAAAATTTTTGAATAAGATGAGTGATCAAACGTTGCAAACAAAAACTCAAAATCCCTTATATTATGGAACGGATGGAGTAGTACTAGGGGTGTGTAGTTCCACGCTAAAATTGAAAGTACGAAGAAATTTGGAACGATGTGACGGAAAAATTGGAAGTTTGTGTGTAGAAAAGTTCGATGTGACGTTTTTTTTTCAAACTTTGGTTCTAAACACGGCTTATGGTTGTGTTTTTCGTGTGCCAATTTTTTTCTTAAGTATACGATCACACATTTGTAGTATTAAACGTAAACTAATAACAAAACAAATTAAAGATTCTGCCTGTAAACTGCGAAACGAATTTATTAAGTCTAATTAATCTATCATTAGCAAATGTTTATTGTAGTATCACATTGTCAAATCATGGCGTAATTAGGCTCAAAAGATTCGTCTCGTGATTTACATGCAAACTGTGCAATTGGTTTTTTCGTCCACATTTAATACTCAATGCATGTGTCCAAACATTTGATCTGATGGAAAAGTTGGATGTTTGAAGAAAACATGGCCTAGTACATATGTACACCCTTCGTCCCAGAATATAGTAACCTAGAACCGGATGGGACATATCCTAGTACTACGACCCCCTGTCTAGATTTATAGTACTAGGATACGTCACGTCCGGTCGTAGATTGCTAGCTATATTATGGGACGGAGGGAGTACATACAGAGAGGAATTTTTGACTCAATTGTTTAGTTTTTTCTTATATTTTTGCC